CCAGGTGCCTATGCAATTATCTTCCATTTGATATCTATAAGGTAAGAAAGCAGCCTTGCTCTCCATATAAAGGACTGAAAGGACAACACATTATAACACATAGGCTAAAACAAGGTTACCTAACTAGGAGCAATCAGTGTTCTGTGAAGCCAGTGATTAAAGTTATTTTATGGTTAAATATGTTATGCAAATTTAGATAACTATGCTAATGTGACAAAACATAGTAATGCTGTCTAGGGGATTTATTATAAGTTCTTCAGATAAGAGATCAAAATACATGTTTGGCAGGTGAGTTTTTCAGGTGAAAAAAACACAGCTTTAACAGAAATTGGGCAACGTATGAAAGTAGCATCTCAAGATAGCAGATCTCGCTCAGTTCTTTTTTTAGTCACTGTATGTTATTTGTGCATGTAAATTGGAGTTAGCATCTACACTGTGCTGCACTAATCCCACATGTGGAAGAAAAACTCTTCATTTAAAATAGCATTTAACTCAAACTAATTCTTTCAACTCTGTTACCTACACACTTCCTACCATTAAAGTCTATCTTGTACTGCAAAGAACCCAGATGAATAGGAACACAAGTTCCTCCCATGTATCAAAGGGAACAAATCTTCACAATTGCCCTTACCACACATTTATAATTATCCTCTTCATGAAGCAAACCACAGTGAAGGCACAAATATTATCCTGAGCATAACGCTGTAACTGTACAAAAGAATATTCATCAACCATCTGTGAAGAAATATCAGCAATGTAATAACTTAAATCAACCCCTTCACCTATAATGAAATGTCAGTTGAAAGGAAGGATGCTGCATCATCTAAGGTAAGTAAGGTAGCAATGTTATGATTAAATGGCAACTGAATCTTAACAGAGCAAAGCTGATATAATCTGGTCAAAATACAGCACTCTGCTGTTTTGATTTCTGCATAGGAAAAGAGAGTGAGTGTTGGCAGCAAAAGATGCATTTATCATCTGGTGATAGGCACCTGGCAAGTTCACAGGATTCAGCTTTCCAATCGTCTGGAGCCAGCAGCACTTCCTTCTCCCAGCCAAAGGACAGGGCTACATGCATTTGTGAGGCTGAAAACTGCACAATGAGAGTAGGAAAACTTCTCATGTCAGCATTAAGATCATTTTATCTTCGATATTTGTAATTCAGTCTTGTGTGCTATTTATGGCAGAAAACAGACCTCAATAATAAATAAGATAAATGATGTTGGCTGGTGAGAAAGCAATGTGCAAAGAACTTATTTCACAGTACAATTAAAACTATAGCTCCTGGACTCTAGAAACATTATAGGATGAAAATAAACTTATATTTTAAATATATATAATAGCTTGTGTCTACCATTGCTTTTTTAATTGGTTTTTTAAAAAATTTAAACTAAAGAATTACCAGAGAATTATTTAGAACAGATTAACAAATTGGAGTGTTTAGAGCAGAGGAGGAGGAGATGTGGCAGCACCATCATCACCATTCAGAAATAAAGAGATAAATATTCCCTGAAGTCAAATTTGACTCTTGGTGATGACATAAGTATGTTTATGCAGGGTTGGGTTTTTTTTTTTTTTGCAATAATACATAACTAGTTTTATAGTGCTTTCTTCTGGGATGTTATTTTAGCTTCCCAGGTTACCCCACAACTGATTTCCTGGTGGTCTCCCATCCAAATATTAATTAAATCCTACCCTACATATTTTTCAAATTCTGCTAAGGTCAGCTAGATGCTGTCATCTGCACGTCAAGCCTCTTGTACTTGAAGAGATACAAACATTACACATGAATCTGTTTGTCAAAAAGAGAAGGAGGGAAACATGTCATTTCTAGGATGCCTTCCACTGGGTTGTAGTTCAACACAATAAAAATAGCAAATAAAGACTAAACAGCAGTTAAAATTACACCAAAGCAATACAACTAATATACATCACAATATTATAGTCACAATAACAATAGCCAATTAAAAATCCTGTAAGGTTTCAAATCAACATACACTCTCACTTCACTTTTTCCCTCATGGACAGTATTTTGTGACTGCAATGTAGTAACAGTGTGTGTACGTGGAGAGGGGGTGACAATACTAATTATAATAACACCTACCTTTCTTAGGACCCTATCATTTTTTCTTCTCCAGATGGCTAGATATCTGCTTCTAGTTATTCTGTATTGTTACCAAAGCCTAAGTACTTCTGAAAACAAAAGTTAAACTTCTCAACCTCCTCTTCCTTTTTTAACCTTTTTTTACATCATTCTGTGTATGGAGAGGAGGAGGGGGGGGGTGCAGGAAGACACCTTGAACTGGTGCAGCAGCAGAGAGTCATCCTAGCCAATTTCCAAAGCTGAACTGAAACTAGAATTTAGAAGGCTAGATGCCAGAACTTGATCAGAAAGTAGAAGGACTTATGTTCAAGCCTGATCCAGGGAGGCAGGTTGCTTTGCACTGTCCTAGCTCATTTCACATCCATGAAGCTACATGAGAAAGCAAAATGCATGGATGTTTCTTCTGCAGTCACAGGCTTTTTTAGATTTTTAGTAGACCCTGCTGGTGGTGAGATAAAAATGGCAGAGCAACTTATAAGCAGAAATTATGGGGACTGCTCACAACACTCACCTTCCAATTTTTCTGTTTCCCCCAAAATGGAACCTACCATAGGCAATTTGCAAATAAATCATGCAAATCCATTCCTGCACAAAGTTCTGTTACTCTGCCCATAGATTTAAAGTTATCAATGTCAATCACTAGAAATCATATAGTTCTTAGCATCTCATATGACTAACTATTAACTATTTTTGTGACTTTGGTAGTTACCTCCCCCCCCCCCCTTCAGTGCATTTCTGGAAGATTCTTATGCACAGACCCACAAGTTTTATTTGGCTATAGGGTTTTTTAAGTTACTTTATATTAAAATACTGTATTTGACTACCCTCATCATTTAAGCAAAGCAATCTCAAGGGCAAATTTAAACTCAGTCTTCAAGGTATTTGTAGAAGATAAGCTAGGCATCTCCTCCTTCGACAAGGGACTGCAGTCAAGAAAGGGAATAAAGTGAATGTAGTAGTTATGTCCAGAGCTGAAGAAAGAATTTAAACGATGAGAACTGGAAGGCTGAGATTCCAAAGACAAACAAATCTTTCACTTCTTTTCTTAACTTCCACTGGTCATTCACTTATACCACTATGCAGCTACTTTCAGGTTTTTTAATTGTTGCAAATGTACTTTTTAAAAACTTCTTCTTTAATGAACATATTAAAATCAACTGAAGAAACAATTAACATGGTGTTTATGAGATTTCTGGTAATAGAGCAAAAATTGAAGTTTCTCCTCAGAGTAAGCTCAATTCCACTTACCACACCTAGATGCTATGTCGTTTCCCAAGCAGCAATACAGAAATGGTTTACCATTATCTCTTCCACATTTTTTTTTAAATTTTCCAGTCTAATCCATAAACTGGAGATTTTCTGATGATCAGCTATATACATACAGTAGATGCTTAGCTCTTTTTCCTCCTTAAGCTCAAATAAAGTCAGTTAAGCGCAGCCATACCTAATCAACATTCTCAGTAAAACTGATACCTAGAAGAAAACTACAGCAAATGAAGTAATGTGTTGTTACAGTGAAATGAGAACAGAGCAACTAAGATAGGGGAAAATGAATATGATTTATACCTCACCTAGTAAAATTCTCTGCAATCTTTAGCTATACCAGATATCCAGATATTTCAATGAAGGGTAATACCATCATGCCATCATTAAGTTCTCCCCCTCTCAATTAATTGGACTTTTCCAGTCATTATTGTTGTTTTTCCATTAAAAGAAATCTGGTGCCCATCGCTTCCATACCATTTTCCAAAGTTTTGTTTCTCCATTTCATGACAGAGTATTACTCGGTAGTAATAAGCCCTCCCCAGAGTTCTTTTACTGATCTCAGCATGGCTTTTCTACATCTACCTTGCTTAACCCCACTTGCTTTCAGAAATTTGCAGAAATGTATTAATTCCCAGTTTTCAAAAAAAAGGAAAACCACCATAATTCTGTAACATCTCAGTCTATTATGCAGGTATTTCTTCTGTATTATACTCTTAGCCGACATTGTATTTTCTTTCCATATATACTTTTTCAAACCATTACTTCTAATCAATAATACAGTATATCTAAAGTCTGCAACAGAAACTCTCTAAAGCTCGTGGTACGCAAAGTTTTCTATCCACTCTCCATTCCATCTTTATTTTAATTGTTCTTTTCTGAAGTTTTTTTCGAGCAGCAGTCATCTTTCTCCAAAATACATTATACATCATCCTGCTTCACCATGGATATATATTGCATTTACATAGATGATTCCAAATGCGTGTGCTTCTCCCCTCCCCCCCCCCTGCCGGTTTTCAGTAAGCTTTCCCTCAAGGCCAACCCCCCCCCCTTATGTGAATGAATATGATCAATTCAGGCACTTTCTACAATTTCTCCCCTTTGATAAAGTTTCTCAGGCATCCCATCTATCATTTCTTTTATGGCCTGTTCGCATCACGGGAAAGAGGCATTAAGAGCTCTTTTCAAACTCCCCGACATCTCTCTGCATTATGTCACCTGTAAACTGGGCTTACTCCTTATTCAATTCTAGACTATTTCCATCAAAGGGCTTGACACAAAATTCAGTCCAAGACCTGCCTCACCAATGTCTTCTCCATCAGTGACATCTTGAACTTTATAACACTCCCCTTCTGCCCCCTCCCCCGTAACAGATTGTCTCCTGCCCTCCACCCTTCCTCTCAATATGCCAATCTCCTACTGACCCCCTTCATTACCATACAATTTATTTCCTATTTATTTCCTATTTCCGTATACCCACTCTCTTCGGCCTCATTATGCACATATACGCATGCCTGCACAGTGCTTCCCCTACACCCCCAACCCCTTCCCCCCTCTCTCTCAGCTACCCAAGTACTTCTCTGAGCAATACTTAGGCCTATGATTTCCCCCCACCCCCCGCGCCTCCCGTTACCTGCCCGATCTCCATCTCCGTTCCTCCGGGACTGCAACTGGAAAGGGAAGGTGGACTTGAGCGGCTGCAACCCGACCCAACAGGAGGAGGAAGTCCCCGCCGCCATCGCTCGGGTTGAGAAAGCCAAAGCCGCTTGCGGATTGCCGATCAGCCGAACAGCTCCTCCACCTTCACTCTGAACGGGGCGCTCGCAACTACGTGACGGGCGACTCGGTCCCAGGACGAAAAACCGAACGGGAGGCATTTTCTACACGCTAGAGGCGTGGCTTCGCGCAACCGCCGACGCTCATTGGCCAACAAAGTTGGACAAGGTGGGATTTAGGCAAAGACTCGCACGGTCCATGCCAGCGAATAACTCCACCTTTTCTACTGCCGGTGCGTTTCCTGTCTTGAGGGGAGTAAACGCAGCCTAGGGGGAAAAAAGAAAAGAAAAGAAAACCTTGGATTCCGTTGTTCAGTAGCACAATACTCCCCTTTCCACTTTGTTTTACGGGTGGGAAACCATCTAAATAGGCCCCTCTCCAGAAGGAAAACAAACACCCATTTTATAGCCAGGCCAGGAGATCATACTTTTTTCTAACTTCGATTACGTTGTGATGCAGGTTTCATTAAATTGCTTTGAATACGTCAATAATTGGCGGTGGGTGGGTTTATCTGGTAAAATACTGCAAAAAGAAACGTCAAACGCAACAGCCCTTACCGCAAGCTGTATGAGGATGAGGATGATGGAACTTTGGCTGGTTAGTTAGATTAGTGCAGTACTCTTCAACTAGTATATTTTTGCCTCTTCTGATATAAAGTTGAAATGTCTTTCCGTTCAAAAGAAACCTATTTTAGAAGAAACGGCCTTAGCAGCGTCTCCAATTTTCCTTACTGCTGTCATAAACTCAATTATTTCCTTTGACAGTCCCCCTCCCCCAACTTGCAAAAGGGAAGCAACAGAGTATAATGGTATTTGCATAGTTATTTGTAAATGCTTGAAAGGCATATCTTAAAAGGGAAAGCACATTGTTACAAATGTTACAAAAAACAAAAATTCAACATTTGTAGACTAAAGGTACTCAACAATATGATTACTCAAATGGCATAAATGAAAAGAGTACAACTTAATGTTTGTGCAGCAGTACTAAACCACAATATGCATCACCATTTCCTTTAACAGGGCAGCTGAATAAAAGGTTGAATTTAGATGTAGCTAGAATTGGAACCAGAAGCAAAATTTCCTCTGCTAGTTACCAAATTTCAAATGCTTTTCAGTACAGAAATAAACCTTAGTTCCTCTTCATTGTTGTATTTTCAGTCATATCTAGCTCTGAAATCTCTGGAAGAAAAATATTAATATATAGCTTTGCAGAACTGAGTTAATTCAATTATGTTTGCTACAGATAAAGGCAACTAGTTTGGTTATGGATGAACACAATACTGCTGAATTATATTTATTTATTGAATTATATTTAATGCTAAAAATACTGAATTATATTTACTTAGAAGAAAAGCTCTCCCCCAAATAATTTATCTTTAAAATAGAAGGCTTATCTGAGATTTATTGCCAATAGTATAATGAGAGAAAATTGGATTTTATCCCTCCCATCTTCTACTCTTTCTTTTGGGGAAATAGTGCCTAGTCTAAAGCATGTTTGCTCAGGAATTTAATTACGGTTTTTCTGAGTTCAAGAGAAATTACTCCCAAATCATTGAGCAATGAATATTCAATGTAAGCAATTTCATGAGAGCAACGGCATGTTCATTTCAAGGACTTAGATGAGCACCAGACAAGCATAGTACCCCCAGATAATCTGGAGTCATTCTCTATTATTTATGACCTCTGGCAACGTTATCTGCAGCAAATGGAAATTGCAGTTCAAAACATCTGAAAACACCAGATTCCCTACCATGGGATGGAAGCAACATTACGTGTAGAGACATCCAAGAATCTGCAGTAGTATTACCACTGCAAAGATTACGCTCCATTCTTGCACAGACTATGGACTCAAATATTTATTTATCTATCAAATTCATATAGACACCCATTTTCCCAAGGGTGATTCTGGATAGAGCAAAGTAATAAATAAAGCGGCAAATATAAAACAGAACAAAAAATCTAGAAATCCAGAGTAATAAATAACAACAACAAAAATTACTACTCATGAGCGAAGAGAGGATAAAATTGCCCCCCTTAGCAATGGGGGCATTGAAACAAATCTCCAGCTCCTAGCCACTTATAAAAATAAAAGTGCTGACCTGCAGAACAGCAAAGAATATACACAAGCGTGCACTATTCTTCTTTTAGATATACTATATTGCCAAAAGTATTCGCTCACCTATCCAAATAATCAGGATCAGGTGTTCCAATCATGTCCATGGCCACAGGTGTATAAAATCAAGTACCTAGGCATGCAGACTGTTTGTACAAACATTTGTGAAAGAATGGGTTGCTCACAGGAGCTCAGTGTATTCCAGCATGGAACTCTGATAATATGCCACCTGTGCAACAAGTCAACTGTCAGCTGTATTATAAGAACGTGGAAGTGTTTGGGAATGACAGGAACTCAGCCACGAATTGGTAGGCCACGTAAACTCGTCCAACATCAGTGTGTGACCTCACAAATGCGCTCTGGAAGAATGGTCAAAAATTCCCATAAACACACTCCTAAACCTTGTGGACAGCCTTCCCAGAAGAGTTGAAGCTGTTATAGCTGCAAGGGGTGGACCGACGTCATATTGAACCCTATGGATTAGGAATGGGATGTCACTTACAGAAAGTTAATATGCAAATAAAGGCAGGTGAGCGAATACTTTTGGCAATATAGTGTATCTCCAATAGAGGGCTGCAAAAATCTCAGTGATCACTAGATAAAAGCATAACATTGGTTTTGTTGGCTTTGCTCCCATCTAAATTGTCACTGGACTGATTGCAGACCATATATGGTACTGTACTACTATGATATATTGTGTTCCTAACAAAATTCAACTGAAGGGGTTACATGTGATGGAATGTCTAATGGACCTTGAGAGTTTAACATTAGAGAAGAAATTTCTGAAACCAGGTGAGAGGAAAATGTGAGAAAGAGACTCAAACTAACCCCATCTTAATTGTTCTAGATATAAATTGAATTAGAGGATTACTTTGGGAAGCTTTCTACTAGTAATAAAGATCTTTCAAGAAATCCATTCATTTTTTCCTGAGATTGTCTGCCTTAAAGGGCTTTATTCTTTGATCTAGAACTCAATTCTGGCCTGTAACCCAGATAGTGGTCCTTAAATTGTTTTATCTAAGTACCTCTCCTGGTCCTGAATAATATCTCTGCCTCCACACACAAAAAATATGTTGTTTTATGTAAGTGGCAGTCCCAAACTGGATCCTCAATCCTCAAATAAGCAATTATAAAGTGTTCATTATCTACATAATTCTACATAATTTCCCCCAGTTTGAGAACTACAGAATAGTTGGAAGATTAGGTTCAGACAACAAAGTAATCCATAGTTTGATTAACCATAGTTTATTCAGAAAATCACAATTGGCTGAATTTGCACACTTTGTATGCCATCAGCCATATTTTAAAATCAATAATGGTTAGCCTCATAAAATGGCCCAGTGAAACATGTGACACTGTTAATAAATTTCTGCATAGTGTCCAAATTATGTAGTTATTGAATAAATCCATTTCCTGTATTTGTCCAATATAAACTACCAAAAGCAACAGAAAGAAATCAAGACTAAAGTTACATAAAGACAGTATGGCAAATGTACATAACAGAACGATTGATTTGTATAGGTGCAAGACATAATGCAATGCCTATGTTTTTTAGGCAGGAGGAAAACTATATTGGACTTTTAAGTAAGAGAGAGACCCAGAATTCTTGAAGTTCGGCATATGAGTACAAAGGTATACCCACTTGATCTTAGCCAAAAGGCTGAGGAACAATATGAATATTGAGCTAGAATTTCCTTGTCTTGCTTAAACATTTGAACTTCCTTTTCATTTATAAATAATGATGAAGCAATAATGTTGCTCTGAGTGGTGCGATTTGTCCCTGCAATTTCTTATCTTAAATCAACTTTTTCTTGACTTAGTAAATTGGCTAAGGATGAAGTGCGGTAGTGGTTAAGATAGGGGTGAGCAACTATGGCCCTTTTAAAACCTGTGTGCTTCAGTTCCAAGAATTCTTGAGTCATTCAGGTATTCTGGGAATTGAAATTCACAGGTTGTAAAGGTGCCATAGTTGCTCATCTCTAAGTTAAACAGTTGGAGCAGGAGTAGGGAGACTCGAGTTTTAATCCATCCTCAGCAATAGAAGCTTTTAGATGATATTGGGCTGGTCATTATTTCCCAGATCAGCCAACCTCATAGGATTGTTGTTGTAGGAAAAAAAACACTATATATGCCACTTTGAACTCCTGAATGATAAGTAGAATATAAACTTTATATAGGAAAAGGTTCATCTAACTTTTTTAAAAAATCCTCTATTCAAGGACTGAATATTGTATTGCAATTGTAGTACAATCTGGGTTAATGACCAATTCACAAAGAGAATGTCAATTTTGCTTCACTCTCATGTCTATCTTTCACAGTCTGGTACATCTGCCAACAAGTGGGTGTGGTGAACATATCTACTACAAAAGTTATGGCAGATTCTCTGAATACCTTAAAAAGATAAAAGAGGGGAGAAGAGAGAACCAGATTATCTGGAGAAAGAAAAAAAGAGCCCTCACATAACACAGCAAGGAAAAGCTCTCCATTGTATTCCCTAATTTAATTTGCAGTACTTTGAGTTTTTAAAAAGCCAGACAATAAACATTGGTCCACAACTAAGTTCAGTCCTGCATGCTCATAGATTGTTCAAATCCATACTTTAAACCATAGAGTCTTTCCCTACTTGCACTTAATTATGAGACAAAAAAAAATAGCCCTGCCTATGAGTGGTCCTTGGTGCTCTCTGAGCTTGGTTGTTCTTACAGACATTTCATTACCAAAACTAGGTAACATCATCAGTGGTAGTAAGGAGTGGGGTTTGCTCTTAGTTTACATTCTAGTAACTTGCCCTGTCAATGCTGATGAGGTAATCTTAGAGGTTCTTTGGTAGGGCTTTTTACTTTTGGCTTATTTGGCAATTCCTTGATTGGGGTTTACTTGACTGTTGGTCTGATGTTAATCTTGGAGTTAATCTATGTTCATCTAGGTGCTGATTACTGGTGTGAAGGTGTGTTTGTCTTTTTGCTCCCTCTTTGGCTTGTTGATTGTATCTTGCATAG